TCCAACCTTCATCCATCCATCCATCCATCCATCCTTCATCCATCCATCCATCCATCCATCCATCCATCCATCCATCCATCATCCAACCTTCATCCATCCATCCATCCATCCATCCTTCATCCATCCATCCATCCAACCAGCAGCTTCAGCAGAAAAAGCAAACGTCAGGTTTAAGTGTCCTTTCTCTCCAACCATGTTTTCTGAGGGAGTCTGACCACTGGCATTGAAGAATCATTATTGCCCCCTGGTGGTCACTGATTTAACAGCAACATTTTAATAATTCAACCAACTCATTATACAATAATCCAAACGCTAAAGGAACAAAAGTGTTTCAGTCCATTTTCCCTTCATCTTGGCAGCAGCTCAGCTCGGGTATTGGCAGAGCGACGTAGCTTGAAGTCATGGATTATCTGGATCCACCAGGATGGTTCTTAATGACCTCACTTTGTAAAGTTCAATCAAATTAGCCTGTATGAGGCAGCACTGGGAATCCTGCTGCTTGCACTGGCCTTTCAGAAGCTAGGTTTCTGTTTCATCAGATGAACTCCTATTAAAACCACAAATGATCTCAGTGAGTCTGTCATCAAGGTTAGTTCCCTGACTTCTATACTGGTTCATAACCACTTCATTTCCAGGAAGGTTAGCTCTGGTTAGCTCACTTTCAGGAACTGGGAGCTGCAGAAATTTTTATTTTCTTTTCAGTGTCTCTTCCTGTTCCTTAAAGACAGGTCGATCACTTAGTGAGTGACTTTAGGAGGAGGTCATTTCATCCAACGTTAAAAATCTACCAGCCTTAAGAGTCTCTGTGTCTGGGAGAGACCAGGAAGGTTAAACAGTAATTATAGGTGATTTTTAAGTCATTCAGAGGGCACATAAACCTTTTCTTTCTCTTCAGCTTCACTGTAACCGTTTCCATAGGTCATCTATGACAGAGTAACCTGAGAACGTCTGAAGGTGGGCGCCTGTGGAGCTGACGGAGAAGTGTGGAAGAAGGACAGAACGGTACCAGAACGGTCCTCTGGGCACAGAACCCGTGCCGGTTCAGGCCATTCCATCCAGTGCACACCGGTGGTGGAGGCCACATCCTTTCAACAGTACCACAGCTGTATGGGGATGCTAGGTTTAACCTGCTAAACCCTCACAGGGGACCTTTGGGTAGATTTCTGCCCTTGAGAAACTGGGAGAACAGGATTTCTCTCTCCACATGTACTGTTAGGCACTGATGCTCAACTGTCACAGATAGTTTTGATCTATGCCCAATATTGAAGCGTGGTCTGCGCTATGTTATTCCACGTCACAACGCAAGAGGGACAATCAGGAACTAGTTGTGGGTCTAGATAAGGTCGAGGCGGTGAGGAAGTGGGGACAAGTTTGTGCGACAACGAAGGAA